GATGAAAAAAAATAGACCTGATTCCTTCCTCAACATTAACAGCGTGTCGATCGAGGAATCCCGCTGTATACATTGTATTCTGACAAGTGCCACCGACACCTGTCAGAGAACCCGACCAGAGCGGGCAGCTCATTGCCTGCTGGCTCTGATCGAGCAAAGATTTTCCTGACCAGCTCCTTCAATCAGCTGATCGACGAATGCCTATCGAAAAAGTGCCGACAGCGGCACACACTGTGCGAATTTCCACCAGTTCTTCAAAACCAGCCGGAACAATGTATGGGCACCTTAAAAGTAGGTATGCACCAATACTTTTCAGATACCAGTGCCGATTCTTGGCATTTTCATGAGAACTACCAGGGTTGCAGTGGTTGCGGCAGCAAGAACCTGGCTCTGGCGCTCCACCGCTGTCCTGAAATAATTTTAGAAAAACTGTCACATGACAATAAACAAAAATGTATCAGTACTCGTACTTGTAAGTACTTGGGCAAGTATCAGTACTTGTACTTGCAAAAATGGTATCGGTGCATCCCTTTATTTATATTTATAAAAACAAAATCATACATTAAAACAGAGATGTACAAATCCCAGGAGCTCCGTGTGCTCCTTACAAATGACAGCTGCCTCCTAACTTTAGAATTTTTCTCTAGTCTAGTCTTGGAGCTCGAAAAGTATCTGTACTTGTACTTGTACAGAGTATGGTACAGTGCTTGGTATAGGTGCATCCCTACTTAAAAGTCTCACTGCTACAGCTATGGTCTACTTAGGCTATTTTAATCTTTTGAAGCAAAGTAAACCTGTCAGCACACAAAAGTATTGAACAAGCTACAGCGCTACAATTCAAGTAGCTAGCGGTAAATGCGCATACAGACTATGAAACTTGTTAATAATGTTGAGATAAAGTCCATCCAATCATGTCTCCTGTACCATCCTATTGGCCTGTAATGTGCTAGCCATTAGGAAGGTGTAAGAGGCATGAGGGGTGGACTGGCTTTCAACACTTTAGGGATGTCTCAAAATTGTAATCCTGAGGTGCCGAAGAAGCCATCTAAAGATACTGGGGGGAATTAATAAAAACTGGAGCAGACAGTTTTCCTATGGCAACCAATCATTATCTCTCTTCAGTTTGTTCAGTTAAGCTTTGAAAACAAGCCAGACTACTCCAGATTGTGTCTGCTCCAGTTTTTATGCATACCCCCACAGTATGGGCAGGCACTGTACCATTGTAATGCTGCATCCTGTTTAGTACCTTTTATCATACAGGTTTATTTTAACCGACGGTCTCTTCATCTGCCACACTGATTTTAATTTGCTGCTAATGAGATAATTGTCACTAAGTATACTAGTCTCTGAACTGCCAATTTAATCCTAGTGTTACAGCATCTGTGTGGTTTTTATGATCAGCTGAGGAGAAACTAAACTAAATAAACTTTTTCCAAGATTGAGGGCTGGTTCACACCAACCACAGTATGTTCCAGCCTGATTTTGGTCGGAACGCACTGGATCGCATTGAGGCCAGCTAACTTTGTTGTGGGACGGGAGGGGCCATGGCGGTGAATTGAACTTAATGGTACCGTAGCCACGCCCTCTAGCTGCAATGCGATCAGCTGCACAGTAACACAAGGCACATCAATGCCTGTGGTCCGGTCACAAAAAAATGCCTGCAAGCACTATTTTTTCTGACCAAACCGGAACGCAGGCATTGATGTGCCACACTTCCCCGTACAGCTGATCGCATTGCGGCCGCAGGGCGTGACTGTGGTGCCATTCACTTCAATGCACCGCCATGCCCCTGCCCCACAACAAAATGAGCTGGCCGCAATGCGATCAAGTGTGTTCCGGCCAGAATCGGGCAAGAAAGCATTGTGATTGGTGTGAACTAGCCCTTAGACGGTTAGACTTTGCTATAACACTTGCCTGCGCACATTAAGTTAATTCATTTTCTCTATAGCTGGCAAAAGCTGTTCAAGAATATCCTGTTGTCTTGTTGCCCAGCCATCGAAGCTACATTGACTTTTTGTTGATATCGTACATTATGTTCACCTATGACCTAGCAATTCCCGTGATTGCTGCAGGAGAAGGTAAATCATTTAATTGTTTTCACTTATGATCATTTCATTCTGTTTTAGGGACATTCCACCTTTCTCAACTTTTTCTATATTCAAATGTAAAACCAAAACAACCAAAATTCCTGAATTATACTTGAGTCCGTTATTATATCATAAACACTTGATTTCTTTTTACAGCAATTATAGGAAAAAAATACCCTCAAGGTTTATGTTTTGCAAGGAAGAGGCGCTCATTAGACATGTGCACCGGCATAAAATTTTGTTTCGTTTTCATTTGGATTTTTCGTTATTTTGCTTTTCAGGATTCGGGTCAGAAAGTCAATTTGTTTCGGGATTCGGACAAAATTTGTCAGCCGTAGTCTGTACAAAGTTTCGTCCCGGATGAATTGTTGTTGCAGCAAAATGACATTAGACAAAAGAAAAAAATGGCTTATTCTTTTTTTTACAGCCTACAGAAGAGGAAAAAAAGCGTGATCCCCCCATTGATACCCCTTTAGGTCTGGCAGGAATGTTAGGAGGGACCCCCAAGTTAACCCCCATGTGCGTGAGGTCCCCCCCAAAATTGATACCCCCTTTAGGTCATGTAAGAATTTTAAGAGAGAACCCCACCCCACAAAAATGGGGGGAAAAAGTGGGGACCAGACCCTTGACCCGAGCACACTCGCGGTATACTGCGACACCGCAGCTGAAGCGGATCCCGACAATTATGTCTGGATCCGCCCAGCTGCGTGAGTGACAGCTGACTCTGCCTATCTAGAGGCAGAGCCAGCTGTACCTGCCCCCTCCCCCGTCCATTCCGCCAGTCTGCGCTGGAGGATCGGAGCGGGTAGGGGGAAATCCAGCCCCTCTCCTGTCACGGCAGAGAGCCGTCACAGGATCGAGAAGTGAGCAAACGCCGGTATGTGTTCGCTGACTTCCCGATCTACTAAGCCGACCTGTGACAGTTTCATTGTCACAGGTCGGCTAGAACTATGAGGTGAGTGAAAAGCACTCACCTCATAGTTCTCCTTTAAGACAGAAACTGATTGGTTCAACATGGTTTCTACACAGCGTCTCTAGATTCGGTCTGCACCAGTCTTAGTAAATTGCCCTCAATGTATTTTTTTGCTGAGGCTCTCAAGAGTGTGACTACTGCAGTCTGAAAAATAATGTTACATGATGATTTTATTATAGCTCTTTATTATATCTCTGACCAGTATAGGTGCTCTTTAAAAAAGATGGAATCTTCTTATAGCTTTAACTTACTCATTCTCCCATGAATAATCTGTCTGTGTAGCACAGGCATTGGAGTTCTACTGCGTATTGTCTTGCCACCAAGAATATGTTTTAAATATCACAAAAATATAAAAACAAACAATAAATGGATATTAATATTTCTAGTGAAAAACATTGTGGAATGCTGATCCAGGAAACTATCTGATTAGCTGTTTTTTTCCACAGTTTGGACCCTGCTCTTTAAGGATTTATGGCTTCACTGATATGGATCAACCCTAGGCTTAAAGTTACATTAAATCTTAAAAATGCATACAAGTACCTTAACTATTAACAAAAATTTAGCTTATTTATGTATCACCCTGCTGTTGATCCTGGAATCATTTCTCAATTTGTGCTGACACTGTTCTTGCTTCTGGAGGGTGGCTACTTTTGTTCCCCATGCTTTCTGTGTGTGTTGTAAAGTAGCCACTGCTCCAAACTCACTCCTGGGATGGACTACAATCTCGCGTTTAGTTTACTAATTTGTATTGAGATTATAGTCCATCACTGGAGCAAGCTTGGAATGGTGGCTACTTTACAACACACACAGGGACCATGGTGAACAAAAATAGCCCACCCTCCAGGGCAGAGTCAGCACGGATTCAGGGGCAATTAAGACCATCTCCAGTGTGTTCCAGCATGGTTAGCTAGTGGAACGCAATGGATCGCATACTGTCCGGCTCCCTGCATTTTGGGGCGGGAGGGGGCATGGCGGTGCATTCAAGTCTATGGCCTCTCCTGTCCCTAGAAGGCATTACAAGCACTATTTTTTGTGATCACACTGGACCATAATGCGGGCATTGCTGTGCCGTCCTGGTGGGCATACATGAAAATAGAACATATTCAGCACTTTCAGATACTTCTCGATATATATTGTGTGTTTATATATATATATATATATATATAATGCTCAGCATAAATGCACACAAGAACAATTTCCAAAATGTTGACAAAACAGTTTTATAGAACATTTGTTGAGCTCATTACATGAAAGTAAGAAAATCGAAAAGGGCGCAACGCTAGGTGGGATTACAGAATCTTCAGTTTTACTCAAATTAGGTGAAGCAAAAATCAATACACCCCACAACAAAATGTGCTACATCTAGTATTTTGTGTGATCTCCATGATTTGCAAGGACAGCATCAAGTCTTCTAGGCATGGAATGAACAAGTTGGCGATATATTGCAACATATTTTTCCATTTTTCAAGAACAACCTCTTTTAGAGCCTGGATGCTGGATGGAGAGTGATGCTCAACTTGTCTCTTCAGAATTGCCCATAGGTATTCGATTAGGTTCACATCAGGACTTGGCCACTGAATCACTTTCACTCTGTTCTTCAGAAATGAAACAGTGGCCTTAGATGTGTATTTTGGATCATTGTCATGTTGGAAAAGTGCACGTCGACCAAGGGCGCGGAGTGATGGTAGCATCTTCTCTTTCAATGTAGAGCAGTACATCTGTGAATTCATGATACCATCAATGAAATCCAGCTCTCTGTGTGTGTATATATATATATATAAATATATACCCAGATAGCAAGAAATTGTGCTGCAAGTTTGAAAATGACTTGCTAAACTATTACAGACTTGCCAAGCTTCACAATTTTGTTGCACAATTACAGCAAGTCTACATTGCAAGTCTCCAGACCAGCGAGCTTGAAGAGCTCTTGCTAAGACCTGCATGACTCTTGCTGTAGACTTGCCAAGCAAATTTGCTACAAGTTCAAAAAGTGTCAACTAGAACTTGTGCTGCGAGTGTTCTGCATGTCTACAACTTGCCAGGAATGTGTGCAGCAAGTTAACAAAATTACAATTTCACCCCGCCACAAGTTTGTAGCAAGTTATCCTTGCTATCTGGGTATATGTGTACTGTGAATAATATTAAAATGTGCTCAAAACTGATCAAAGAGAAACAAATGTGCTGCTCCAGTAAACAACTTGGAGTGTTTAAATAATAACTTTAAATTCTCTAGTTTGTTGCTGTTTCTTCCTTTAGATCTCAGCCGCATGACACTTATTGGACGTCTCCTTCGCTCATCTGGTGCCTTTTTTATAAGACGTACATTTCAGGGGAACAAACTTTATTGGGCAGTGTTTTCAGAATACGTGAAGACTATGCTACGGGTAAATACATTTAAATTGTAAATGGTAAATTTATGCTTGCAAATTCGTAATAACTTTCCAATTTTTGTAATACATTTAGTTGAAGGAAAACTCAATGAAAGTATAAATCTGTGTAAAAAAAAGGTTGAGCATTGTGCAAATATCACGTTTTAATAATGTTTGTGTTATATTATAGTGATGAAAACGGAAATGTTAGAGGTCTTTTATTTAGCTGTGAGAAAAACATGAGTAGAAGACTTATGAATAAACCAACTCTAAAGAAAACAGTAATTGGGTTATTTAAAATAGTAACCAAACCAAATTAAATGGAATCAACAGTCTATTATTTTTATGTAAACATTTTTATACCAATTTTTTTTACTAAACCTGTTTTCAGAATTATTTAACTTAGATTTAAACTGTGACATCTGCCATTCACTTTTGGTGTTCATGCGCTTACTGTGGATTTGGGGAGGTCACTGTAAAGCTAAACATACTAAAGATTCCTTCTCTTTTTGCTTTCATTGGAACAAAACAGCAATCAATCAAGAAAATCTCTTTTTTTATGAATTGTATTATAACTATAAACTTTGTTCTATAGACTGGCTTTGCTCCTTTGGAGTTTTTCATTGAAGGTCAAAGAAGCAGGACAGGCAAGGCTATACATCCAAGGCTGGGTATGTATAGATTGACAAAAGATAGTGAACTAGATGCTCAACTATAACATAACTAAATATGTATATTTTATAAGAGAAGGCAATATTTTATTTTAAGTTTTAGCATCCTAAAGCATTGGATACAATAATCATTGTATCCAATTCCTGAAGCAAACATTTTATTACAAAGGTTCTTTTTTACGTATTAGCGCTAACTCGTAATACGTAAAAAAGAACCTTTGTAATAAAATGTTTGCTTCAGGAATTGGATACAATGATTATTATTGCCTTTAAAAATAGAAAAATTATCTAGAATGAACAAAAATGTAATTTACCTGCAAATATTATTTTACAGCAAAAGTATTGTTATATAATGCCTCCTTCCAACTATGACTCCAAATACTTTTAAATCACCTACATGCTGTTTGGCTTTCTAGTTCTAGTTTGCCATAGATGTAAAAATAAGCAATTTCGAAGTACCCTTAACTTTTTTTATTGCTTTGGAGAGATGAAAGGTTAGAGTGTCTAATAGTTCTGGAATTATCATCTGTGTCCCTATTTGGGAATTCTTATCCTTCACTGACAGTCATTTACAGCATGCCTGTCTTGGCCTTTTGACACAGAAAGTATTAAACCAGAAACAGCTAGCAATTAATTTTATCAGAAGGAAGCCAGTAATGGAAGCCCACATACACAGATTAAATGTGTGAAAAAAATGTGTTTCCATCCATACCTAGCTGTTGGTGCAAACGTTTTCTTTTTTCCCTTCATCACTGGCTTTACTGCTGGTGCTCCCTAATGCTGCTACTTTAAAGGGAAAAAACACAGTGTCCCCAGTGCTAAACCCAAAAGTAAATGGCAAATAGTTGTCATTTACCTAAATGCCTTTAGAAAAACATGATTTTTCCTATGGTCTTTATTTAGAGACCTTGCTAGTTGTGTTTACAGGTTAAAAAAATCATCTCATTGATAATAGTTTGCTGCTTATTTTCATAAAGTCAGTCTTAGATACCAACTGTACATAGTGAAAATAAATAGAGATAAAAAGTAATATAGAAAAGTTGTAATAGGTTGTGTTTGTGTTGCAGGGCTTTTGAATGTTGTTATGGAGCCATTCTTAAAAGGAGAAGTATTTGATACTTACCTCGTTCCCGTCAGCATCAGCTATGAAAGATTATTAGAGGAAGAATTCTATGCGCAAGAACTTTTAGGAGCTCAAAAACCCAAAGAATCCACATCAGTAAGATATACTTCAGGCTGATATAATGCCATCTATTATGTGTGGCATAGTTGGCATAGTAGAGAAGTGGTGCTGGATCAAAAGTGCTCAGTGTCATTTTCTAAAGGAGTCCAAGTTGTACCATTTTTGAAGAACCACACTAATGGCGCTGACCATTTTTGGAGGTATACTCCTCCATGTCCAGTCCATTTTTTTAACATTCCATCTTAACACCAAACACCATGGAGCATCAAATACCTATGTTGTCATGCTGCCGACTCAAAAGTGTTCCAGCAATTTAGCTTTTACCCACTCTGATTTCATCTATAAGCATCCATCCTCTCATGACTTAGAAATGGCCACCCCTACCCTGAGTTCCAATTCCATTTATCATTACCATTAACATATTAGGAAGCTAACAACATTAAAATGTCACCTCAACCCAGCTCCTCACCCAAATGTCATCTGGCTACTGCCACCCCTTTCTAATATAATCTGGCCTATTCTGCTCAAATAACATACACATGCCTTCTCAAAAGCAATAGTCCGTCCGTCCCCCCACCCCACCCCCATGTCATCCAGGTGTACTGGCTTGCTCAGATGTCAACATTGCAGTTGAATTACACTTGCCACCTGCTCCCATAAATTAAATAACATCATAATGCCCACAACTCTCCTTAAGGTGTCACCTAGTCCAGCTTAGATGTCAACTACTCAATTGTCTAATGATGTCTGAACAGATCACATTTACTGCCCCATATCAGATGTCTATCTGCCACTGCTATAATATCTTTCGAATATAGAGTTGAAATGTTAATACATTTCAACTGGACATTGCTTAAATTAGGCCAGATTTCACTCCCCATCCCCATGAGAGCCCAGTAGTCTAAAAAACTTCCCAAAATTGTGTACAATTAGTTCTCTCTCACAGACTCCCAGAAGTGGATGAGCACCCATTTATAACAGAGATGGCATGACTACATCGTCCTGCCCAACACATTTTCCTTAGATATGACCAGGCATGCTGTAGGCCTCAGAAGTGACTGGTTATTTTTTTATGTTTCTCTTCTGATGTGACCAGACCTTTCCCTTGTGCCAGATGTGATCCTACTACTTGTTTTCAGTAGCAAACTAGGTCTAAAATGTCCCTCATCAATTAAGACAAACAGAAAAGTAGATCTGTGTTTTTAATCATAGCTAGTGCAGAAAACATATTATGTAACATTATTAATTTTACGGGTTATTATCTGTTGTTTTATTTTATTAATATGTCCTAATGTGTCCTACCAATGAGACACAGCCTCTTCTATCTGTGATCTCCCACCTCTGCATTACCTCTGGCTGTAATGCTGAATCATCAGCTTCAATACTTTATGGGTGACTAACCTAGAACAAGTACGCAGATAAGAAGTACTGACTCTGCCCTGCCTTTATGCCTGCATACTTGTGTTGGGTTATTGAAAGCCTGGCAGCTAGCATTTTTAGAAGGAGGTGGACAATGGCAACATCCATATCAGTATAGGTTTCCAATGAGATGTGTATTGCTCAGCCTAAGAAATTGATGTCTCCATTATCAATGAGTAGATGAGTATAAAGCAACATTGCTTCATTCATATGATTTTCTTTCGTTGTAGGGTTTGATGAAAGCCAGGAAGCTTCTAAGTGAGAATTTTGGAAATATCCACATTCACTTCGGACAGCCATTGTCTTTACAGTCACTAGCTTCTGGGAGAATAAATCGCTCTGAATATAATCTTACCCCAAGGTACTGTGCCATAGACATTATGGGGTTGATTTACAAAAAGCAAACTGGTTGATCACTTTGCAAAGGAATTTGTATTTTGCAAAGGCAGTTTCCCTTACTTAGTGAATGTGAGGAAAATTCACCTTGAAAGAATACCAATCACATTCAAAGTGCAAAGTAAAATTAAAAAAACTTTTTTTGCTTGCACATGATTGGATGATGGAGGTCAGCAAAGCCTGACCTCATTCTCTAAGTTAAGGGAACATTTCTTTGTAAAGGGCAAATTCCTTTGTAAAGCGAAAAGCCAATTTGCCTTTAGTAAATCAACCCCTATAGTATAATCATTAAACATCCCATAAATTCTTCAAAAATTTCTTATGTTTAATTTGAAAACGCGTGTATTAATCATTGTTTAAAAGTTATGCCCACCCACAGGCCTCCACTTTTGTGTTTGTTTGTTTCCTGGCTCTACCCACACCTTTCCTACCTATTATTTCCTCACTTATCTCTATGACATAGAATGTATTTAGGCTCCTCAATTTAGGGGTCTATTCACAAAGGTGCCGAAGGATCCAGCCGTAGCTTCGGCTGATCTTTTGGCTAGCTTTGGTTGCGGGAGCAGCTGCTGTATGGACTAAGCCGAAGTGACAGCCGAAGCGGGGCTGTACGCCTTGCACTTGACAGCTGGGCGGAGCCAGCCATGATCTCAGGGTCGGCTGCGTACAGTTGTAATGACAGATCAGCATCCCCAAATGACCTGGGGATGCTGATTTGTCATTAAACAATAATAACTGGGCCAGCTCTGCCCTGTTGTTATTCATTGGCCGGGACCTGCTAGAAGACTCTAGCAGGTGGTGGCCAATAGGAAACAGTTAGGCAGAGCTAGCTGTCACTGCTTGTTTTTTTATTATTATTTTTTCTTTTTTTTTTAATCTTTTTTGATTTTTTTAAATGTATTATTTATTTACATTTTGTAAACATTTTCTTCAACTTTTATTCTTTTTATTTCATCTTTTTTCACTATTTGCTATTCTGCTCTGTACCACGGAGGTACCGAGTAGAATAGCCGAGCTGAATTGGGGCGAACGGCAGCGAGTGAGCTGCCGGAGCTTCGGCTCAGCCGATCCAGATGTTGGATTGGCTGAGTCGAAGTCCTTCTGCACTTGACTATAGTGCAGCCGAAGGCAGCCAATGCATGATTGATTTCAGCCGATGTACGGCTGAAGTCAGCCGTACTGAGCCGTAGTGAATACCTGAATAGTTGTTCGACTCACTTCACTACGGCTCGGTTATTCACTCGGCTGCCTTCGATCGGTCAGGCTGGAAAACTTTTTGCAAGTCGAACACAAATTGATGGATTAGTGGCGTTTCTGTACGAAAAAAATCACAACATGAATGCTGCACATGCGCAAACGAAAATCCGTTCTGTCGATCGACAAAATTAGTATTTCTAACAAATGATTATCGAGATGACATTGGTCTGTTCTTGATGGACTATTTGAGCTAGAATCGAAAGAGGGTTCTTGGCAGCAATTAAAATTTCAGAGCGAAAATTGCAGATTGTTTGGGCACCTTTAAAGAGATTTCCACTCACTGTCGCAGTGACAACAGTTTCACCAGAGAGGAAGTGAGGAAAAATCTGCAACAAAGACACAGACAGCAATTTAACCATCTAAGTACCGGAGCATTTTTTTTCCCCACACATGTTAAAGTCTGAATTATTGGATAGAAAATTACTTTACAACCCCAAACAATGATATATTTTCTGAAAGCAGAGCCCTGTAGAAAAAAAAGAGGGCTGGGGCAGCACATTTGCAGGCTGCTACATCTGATCTGGGTGACTGTACAGCTGCCCAGATCACTTATACATAACAAGCATCGCCTGCTGAAACAAGCATCACCTGCAGCAGCAGCTATGATCTTGGCATAAGCTCCTTTATTATGCCCTCTAGCATTTTACAAACTACCGATGTTAGACTGATAGTTCCCAGGTTGGCTGCACTTTAAGACCATCATAAGGTTCTGAAGTGGTTAAACTGACTGGGTTACTAGTCTTCCCCTAATTTACCAGTAAATAGCATTGATATTTCTGTCTGTGTTGGTCTTGGTAATTTTTCCTCACTTCTTGTCTGGTGAATATGTTGTTATCATGATAGTATGAGAGGGGAAACCCCTTTAATTGAGTCCTGGACAGCAGTAAAAATCTGAAAGGGATTTTAATCATTCTCTACTCTGTTCAAGCCAGAAAAAAAATGTTTTAAGCTAAGCATTACACACTGGAGGAGCACTTAGTGTAGGGCAAGTATATTTACTAAATACTTTTTTATCAAATGCCTGTCCGTCTAATTAAAGTGATATTAAAGTCGGAAGGTTTTTAAACCATTTCAAATGCTGAAGAAATCACGTACAATGGATGCAGCTTCTTGATGTTTAAAAGTTTTAGCTTTCTGCAAAATCAGCTGATCCCCTGAGCACTGGTCCTGATATCCTGTTTTATGGTGGCTCTTTTCCCTTGCAGGGTCCTGTGGAGCCTCTCCTGTGTGCTAGTAAGTTGTGTGTGTCTCCACAAACACATAGGCACAGTAAGGCAAGTTGATGGACAGCTGCTGGAGACAGTGCTCTCCCTTGTGATCTGGTACTGGACAAGAAGTTAGGGGAAGCTGAGCTGAGAGCATTTAACCCAGTTGTTTTGAAACATGAAGATTGTAATGCTTGGGCAAACATTTACAAAAATACTTTTCTTGGCAACTTATATTTGTTTAATCTCGATTCATTATTGAAAAAAAAAGTTTGAGGGTTTAATACTACTTTAATTTATTACATAAGTGGTTGTGCTCATCATGTTCTTAAACACTACTTTGTTCTTCATTTAAAAAAATTAAAGGTATACCTGGTAAAATAGCCTTTACCTGTTCACAAAATATACAGACATTTGAATATTTTGTCAACATATTAATACATTTTGTGACTCTTGCATGATTTAGGCATCTATCACATCGACCATCGGAGGGTATTCAAAAGTTTATAACAGAAATAGCCTATAAAATAGAGCTTCACCAAATAGCCAACATGGTCATCAGCCCTGGAGCCTTGATAGCAGCCATTTTGTTGCAGAATTTACCGGCTTTGAACTTCAAAATGCTGATTGAAAAAACACTGTGGCTGAAGGATTTAACAGAAGCCTTTGGAGGAAATTTAGAATGGCCTGGTATGTATTTAGATTGTAGGCACAACTGATATTTACAGTTGGTTACTAATTTACAATGATAAGGCTAAGGCAGATATGCTTGATGTTTGTTTACGAACAACCAAGCCACTTTGAATCACATTATTTTGCTGCCTGATTTTTTCTTTGATTTTAGTGTAATCTATGTATTTAAATGCATTCTGCAGCTGAAACTTACAATTGTCAATACGGGGCCAGTTAGATGAACTGCTAACATAGTCTACCAGGCTTGTTTTTAAAGCCGGGTATACACACTTATATTTTCTTTGTTTGGCTGAATGAAGAAAATATAACAGATTCCTTATGAGCGTTGATCGAGAAATCCCCTGCTGTCTGCATTGTTGTTGTCTGCTGGCGGCTGCTGACAGAATACCTGAAAGGGAACTAGCAGCTAAATCGCTGCTAGCTCCCTTCGGCCAATAATTTTGCAACCAGCAAGCTCCTTCGATCAGCTGATCGAGGGATGCCAAGCAGAAGGGTGCAGGGTGCCAACAGTGGCACCCACTTTGCAAATTTTGTCCGTTTGATCGGGAACTTCTTCAGGAGGCACATGGGAATCATGCCTCTTCTATGCTCTGGTGTGTAAAGTAGATAATAGGTGAGGCTGCCAACCCAACTGAAAACCCCAAGATATTGAACTTCCTTAAATAGTAATGTACTTGATGTCTAGACTGCAGCAGAAAGCACTTTATCCAATCACTTCACTATATCCTATGATGTACAGTAAGTAAACTCAGTTATTGTAGTAGGTTTAAATAGCTCCAGTCCAGGGGTGCCCTCAGCTCTCTGGCTCCAGGGATTATCTTTTATATGCTGTGCTTTAAGAACCCCATACTTAAAAAAGCCCCTATCAGCATAAAGTAAAAATAAAAAAAACGAAATTATTGAAAATATCCATTCTCTAAAATAAAAGTCCCTTGCAGCAAAAATGTTTTCTATGGACATACAGCAGCTAAAAATAACCAGCAACCACACAATAAAATCAAAGAGAAAAAAGCTCCCAATAATAACGAAAAAACAGCAAAGTGGTTTATTGGTCAAAGATCAGAATTAAAGTACAGTTTATGAATTGGCCCTAATCAATCCCTATGCAATTTATCAGCTTTCCCTACAGCAACTCCCAATGCACTGACACTATGGGGGTGATTTACTAACCTAAACACACACACACACACACCAGGTGTGTGTGATTTTCACACAGCAAAACGTATTTATCAACCAAAAAGTCTCTAAAAGAATATTTCCACTAATGCCATATATGGAAAAATCATGCACATGATGCATATATAATGCTGCTTCACAGTTTAGACAAAAATGGTTAGCTCATGCATTTACATTCCTGCATTCATCAACGCAAGCAACATAACATAGAGCTAATTTACACCACATTACCTTGCAATTCATTGCAGGGTTTTGCACAACCCACCTGCTGGGTGTGTACACACTACAAAGGTGTTTCGATTAATCCCATAGATCATGCTGGGAGGGAACACACTACAGAGGTGTATACACGTTCGTGGTGTGTTTAAAAGGTTAGTAAATCAACCCCTATGGCTTCCCTGTCCCCCTGCCCCCCCCACCCCCTCCTGAGGGAGCTGGCTTTTCTAAAAGCCCCCTTAGTGGCCCTTCTAAGTCTGCTGTCCACAGATCAGTGCATTATGGTTTAAAAAAATTCCCAGATGACCCTGGATATAAATTAGCTGGGACTGCGAATCTCGAACCTGCAGGTCCTCCCTGACAATGGGGGAAACCTGAACCTCATTCTTATATCTGACACTAGACATCACTGCCAGTGCATCTATTATATTGTTAATAGATTAAAATGAGAAGCAACACCAGTAGTATTCTGTGTCTACAACACTACCTGCTTGTTAAAAATGGAGACTACAGAATTTTAATATATTTCTATTCATACAAGCTGCTGTGTGATGTGCGGATATTTTTGGACACAGTGTTCTAGTTCTTCCTTCTACACTCTTTTTCTTCAAATCTATTTATCAATTTATTAGATTGCTCCAAAAAAATCATCTTGTGTCTTTTTGAATTACAAATTAGACACAGAGGTTTCAGAAGGTGTCTTAGCTGTTTATATTATCTATGTATGTTTTGTTTTGTGTGCTGGGCACCAATATTAACCACTGTTAGAAAAATAATATTAAAAATATCTTGTTTTCATGCCTAAAAACAGAGAGTATAGTTCAACATTTAATTTTATTAAGAAAAATATAATATGCAGTATTTATAAAAAACACTACCAAATAACTTATAGATAACTTATAGATTACATTAAGAGGGTTATTCACAGAAGAGTCAAAGGATCCAGCCGTAGCTTCGGTTGATCATTCAGCTCGCTGCGGCCGACTGAGCCCTTTGGTTGAGTCGAACCGAAGGGCTGCTGTACGGGTTATTCACAATAGCCCGTACAGCAGCCAAAGGGTTAGTCGTAGTGACAGGCAAATAGGGGTGAACGGCAGCGAGTGAGCTGTTGGATCGGCTGAGCCAAACTCCTTCGGCACTGCAGAGCATGTTCAGCTGACCGAAGGCAGCAGATGCACGGCTGATTTTAGCCGATGTACGGCGGAAATCAGCCGCACAAGGCTGAAGTGAATAGCCGAACAGCGTTCGGCTCACTTCACTTTGGCTGGGTTATTCACTCGGCTGCCTTCGGCTGCTTTGTGAATAACCCCCTAAATGTTTTAGTTAGTCTACAAACCGCTGATTGCAAATCACTAGCTGATAGCTGATTGAAATGTAATTCTTAATTTTAGTACTTAGATATCTTGAGTACTGTATATTGCAAAAACAGTTTTTCAACTTGACTCTACTTGTGATTTTCTATATTTTATTCTACAACATCATATGTCTGCATATGTCTGCAAGCTAACGTGTTTTTTTAATTTGTGTTACAGGTAACATACCTTTTGATGAAGTGGTTCGGTCCAGTCTACACCTACATTCAAACTTTATGAGCCTTATGGGTGACCAGGTAGTTTTGCTTGAACATAGTAATCATGACATGGCCGAAGACTTGGTGAACAGACGAGCAGCCACATATCTGATAGGCGCCTCCTACAGAAACCAGCTGGTTAATGTTTACATACGGCCTGCTCTGGTTGTATTGGCTTGTAAATTGGCACAAACGTTCAAGAAAGGTATGATCTGTTTTCTGACATATATTGTATGTGATAACTGAATGCCTACTTTTTACTGGAATTAAAGTGAAGAATCACACAGCAAAAATGTCAAAAGTGTGTCAGTCATTTACGAACAGAAACTAAAAACAAGCTCAGTCATGAAGGGGTTAATCCAAATAAAAATCCAGGTAGGAGGTTGAGCCAGTATAGCAACTGCTGTCCTTAAAGAAGAACTCTGGGTAATCTTTTTATTAACCCTTGCAGTAAGGCTACCCCCGTACTGCAAGGGTTAAGTGCTCATTTTGGTCTAGGGCTGAAAATAAATATACTCACCCAATCATCTGAGCCAGCTGGCTGTGACAGAGGTCTCTGAAGCCTGTCACTTCCTCCATTGCAGCGATGATAATCCCTTGGTGTCCTCACATCCTATACAATATGTATAGAACGTGATAACTCAGGGGCCTTAGACTGCTGCAGCTGAGCGGGTGAGAGACACTCTATGGACCGGTCTAAGAGCAAGCTGGCTCGGAGGTTTAGGACAAATTGGGCATAAATGGAAAAAGCCATAAAAATGTCTACATAGGACACATCTGGTTCCACCCATATTTAGCTGAATATTCAAAGCCAGTTGTGCATACAGTTTCAGAAATGCTAGATCACTTTCCCCTGTGTGGCATACACAATGGAAATGCCCAACTGTCATCCTTTTATAAATAATTTGCTAACATAACCATTAAACTCCCAGGTGCTTTTTCACAATGGCACTGATTTAACAGTTATTTGTTGTAGTGCCATTTTCAAATGGAATCCACTCTCAGCTGCTCTGGTAGGTCCTAACAGACTTCAGTAATGCAACTGCTATCTGTCAGGGACAGCTGCTGTCCAAAACTAAGCCCAGAAGCTTACTGGTCCGTTCCTGGGCTTCTGATCATGCTACCAAGCCCTCAAGTATAGCGTCCCATAGTAGAAAATGCAATGCTTTTACATTATGTACAGTACTTCTTATGATTCCCGCAGCCATAATAACTAGGGAATTGCTGATCAAGCTCTGCCATACCTTACACTACAGCAATAAGTCACTGCAATAGTGATCTGTTGCATGCTAATACCAGCACGAAATAGGATCCCAATTATAAGTGATCTACTGTATTATTGCAAAGTTGCATGGGGGGGTCAGGATCAGGTCTCCCCTGTATTAGTGCTATCCAATTTAATCAAAGTATTATTCAGTAACGTTTTCTAACTAAATCATCTCTGTTTCAGATGATGTTTACAAATCATTTACATTTCTGAGAAGAGTTCTTTTTAGAGAGTTCATATTTTTCCCAGGATATGAAGAACAGGTAAGTCACATTACGTCTATATTTTAGCATGTCAATATTATATGTGCTAAATCTAATACTTATTAAAACTGTAACAACACTTTTTCAAAAAACAAAAAAGAAAACTTGACCTGGGAGAAATAAAGTGGCTGCCATGGTTGACCTCTCTTTCACTAGCCACTAAATGGAAATGAAGAGGAATTAAAATATATTAAGAATGTTTGTTCTTGCCTTTATTCACAGAGAACGAACATTCACAGAGATTTGCAGGGCAAATGGCTCCGTAAATTCATCATAATTAGACCCCATGAAGCTTGTACCTCAGGTGGGAGTGCCTGGAACAGCACAAAGACATTTTAAAATAATTAAGCCACTTGCAAGCACTTTTAGATTATATGTAATAATAATAATAAAAACATTTTTTTCCATTTAGTATTCTTTATAATGTGGGTGATTTCAGCTTATTCATAGTCCAGCAGCTGTAATATACGCTGCCTGGCCAAAAAAGTAATGACTTGGATTAGCAAAGCAAATAGGTAAGAGCTGTAGGTTGCTTCATTTGGTCAGGTCTAGCTAGGTTCATCAACGTGAGCTATGAGGTCAGCTGCCTACCTGAATATATTGAATGACCAGTTTTTTCTGTCAATTCATTTTTTCTTCCCTGATGGCACGGACATATTCCGTTGTGAAAGAGTGGTTTAGGGAGCATGCAACATAATTTTCCCATTTGGATTGGCCACCGCAGAGTCCAGACCTCAACCCCATTGACAATCTTTTGAATGTGCTGGAGAAGATTTTACACAGTGGTCAGACTCTCCCATCATCACTACAAGATCTTGGTGAAAAATGAATGCAACTCTGGATGGAAATAAATGTTGTAACCTTGCATAAGCTTTCCAAGACAATGCTATGGCGAATGCATGCTGTAAAGAAAGCTATAGGGGTTCCAACTAAATATTAGCGCGCGTGACTTTTTTTGGCCAGGCAGTGTATTGTGTGTGTGTGACAAACTGCATTTAACAGAGGTGTAGGTATTTGCTAAAATATTATGTGTACAGATATTTAAATGCATACTGTTAACTAATTTCTGGCAGGACTTTGAAGAAGGCTGTTCCTTGCTTGGCAAATATGATGCTATTCACATAACATCAGATGAAATGATCTCAGCCGATACCCATGTCACTTGCTTTTTATTCAGAATGCTGCATCCTGTTCTTGAAGGCTACCAGGTACGTGTGTTGAAACAACAGTCTGAATCTGGCCTACACAGCTAGAGAGGCCAGTGTAAAACATTTAGCTCCCATTCATGCTTGAGCTTGAGCATTTTCAGGTGATTTAAAAGCAGTTTTTTGCATGTTTTTGTGGTGTTGTTTTAGCCAGTGGAAAGCTAGTTACTAGGAGGAGGAAATGGTTGAAAAATATGTATGACGCATGTTTTTCAGGCTCTACCTTTGAAATCTAGTTTTTTTGGCTACAGCTGAGAAGCAACACAATGCTCAGGTGTGAGCAGGCACCACTAAAAATGATGGAATGTTTAATCTTGATTGCTGTGCTTTGGGAAAAGAATGACATATGACGATAAAATCAAGAATTAAATGTTATTGGTTTGAATTTTTTTTTATAAATGACTATCTCCCAGTTAAGCAATGATTGACTTTGGACTACATAAAGCTTTAGTGGATTCATATTGCTGCATGTTTCTTTTTGTCCAGTTAGCTTGCACCTACCTTACACAGGATATGTTTGAGAATTTTACAGAAAAACAATATATATCTGGTATGAGAAGTTTTGTCTTCCAAAGTATTGCAACAGGTAAGTCAATTGTCTGTTATACAGACAGAGAATTGAATAAGACCTCTGGTATTTTGGTATCTGGTATGGTAGAAAAAGTCTATACATTATTACGGTACTTTAGGTTTTAATGAAGCATCCCACAACAATTGGGGTGTGTTATAAGCTATATCCTCCATAACACTAATAATGTATATACAATACTCTTAGTATAGCCTGAAAATGTTGGTATTTTTAGTGGATCTGGTGGTGCACTTAAGAGGGAGACAGTGTAGACGAAGGAACAATTTGCATCTATAACAAAGATTTTAGCTGAAAGTTAAAGTGACACTAAACTCAGGATTTAAATCTTAAAAATACATTCAAGTACCATAATTATTAACAAAATTGTATCCTATTTGTTCATTACCCAGCTGTAGATCCTCAAATCATCTCTGAATTGGTGCTGACACTGTCCTTCCTTCTGGAGGGTTGCTACTTTTGTTCCCCATGGTCCCTCTGTGTGTTGTAAAGTAGCCATCGCTCCAAACTCTCTCCCGTGATGGACTATAATCTCAATACAAATTAGTAAACTAAACATGAGATTGTAGTCCATCATGGGAGTGAGCTTGGAGCGGTGCCTACTTTACAACACACACACAGGGGCCATGGGGAACAAAAGTAGCCACTCTCCAGAAGGAAGGACAGTGTCAGCACCAATTCATAGATAATGTGGGGATCTTCACCTGATTGATACACAAATAAAATGAACATTTCTGTTAATAGTTAGGGTACTTGAATTCATTTTTGAGATTTAACTACTGAGTTTAGTGTCACTTTAAAGTGTATGTCTAGCCAAAATTATTTTTCTTAGCATAAAGTGGGGAAAATATTAGAACCCCTGTTAGATTTTTACTGCTATCCAGGGTTCCTGTTTCATACTCACTTCTGGTCCTGCTAACCCAGGAAGTGAGAGGAATTCTCCAACAGCAGTGCAGTCAAAAAATAAAATGCTTTACTTAAGTAGAATAATATAAGAAGGCTTAAACTCCTGTCAAATTTTGATTTCCGTCCATGACCCTGTTGCAGATTGCCCCTCCTGTCAGGTAAAAACGTTGTCAGCAGGGCAGGAAGTGAGAGTAAATCAATCAAATGGAGCCCCGGATAGAAGTTAAGACCTGACAGGGGTTCTATTTCTTTCCCACTCTATCCAAACCTAGAACAAAAAGTTTTTGGCTTGACATACACCTTAGGAGCGGGTTCTGTGCAAGAGTCAGTGGCTAATTAGATGCTCCATGATGCAAGCTGATGAATCAGACATTGAAAATGCTGCTGGTAGCTTTTGGTGCAGGCCTCTTGGCACAGAAGATGAGATCTCTAAGGAAGGACCTTCTTACCCCAGCCTTCCCTTAGGCATAGATTACTTTTTGCTGCTACTGCCTTCTTTAGAAGAACCAGAACACTGTCCTGTGTGGTGAAAATATAATCCAAGTTTTTTAAACATATATACATGGCATGTTAACAGCAAAAGGTAAGAGCTACATTGTTTACATTTCAGGATATATTCATACCATTTTGATAATTTATGCATAGAAGCTCAATAACATTTGACATACTCCTCATTAATACCAGCCAAACCCACTTATGTAACCCTCTAAAATCCCAAACTCCTGTGAATTTCCAGAAGACACTCTTATCTCTCACACATAACAAGTTGCCTGGGTATGGGACAACCTAGCACTTCTCAAACCTAATACCATAAACAATCAGCCGTTGTCACACATTCACACATTCTAGTTTATACACGCTCTACACGCTTGGAGGAGCTGAGGAGAAGAAGACCATAGTCAGTATGTCAGGAGCATGGCTGAAGCCATATTCAGAATTCTGAACATGTTGAGTTTTCTGTACATGAAACTACTGATCTATTTGCCTACTAATGATTATGAAAATGGTATGTTCTATTCTTTTGACATATCCTGACATTTTCTTATTTTTTAAACAGTGCAATGACTGAATTCTCAGTTATTTCATGAATATATCTTCTTTATACCATTTCAAACAGTTTATTTTGTGTCTTCACAGGAGCCAGCAGTTGTTATGAAACCTTGTCTTCTGATATGTTAAAGAACTCACTGGCATCTTTAGTGAATCTAGGTGTTGTGGAGGCCAGTAAATCGTAAGAGCAACACTTTCCATCTAATATAACACACTGTGGGTGTGGAATGGTGGGAGAAAAAGTAATAAAGCATATGCAGCATAGATGTTACTTAAAGGAATTATATTTATTAATGCACTGCAATTTTACCACGTTTAGTCACGTTTTGGTGTAGTACATTGCCTTTTGCTAGTATAATGCCTACCATTTTTATTGTGCTGGTGATGTTAGTTGCTTATTTCTAGGGTGATATTGTATGTCTAGTGTCAAATGCACTTTTATTTGGTATAAACGTAGTCATTATGTGTATATTTCCTCAGATTAGAAAAAAAACAGTAAAAGTGCCAAATAGGTCCATCACAAGTACAATAATTACTTACCAAAAAAAGGCTTAACATGTGCATAGTCCTTAATGTATACTGTTCAAATTATCCTCTTCACAAGGAACTTCTGCATTTAATTCATTACCTTAAATGCAGAGGAGAAGAATTATACACTGCTCAGCCTGCCCAGTGTTTCGGGCCTCTTGAATGCATGTGCCATTATTTCCATAAAACTCATGATAAAAAGCTGTTAATCCAGATGCAGGGAAATAATCCCTCATGCTACTATTTTAAAATAGTAAACATTCCTGCTTATACAGCAGTCATTTGATTCCATGGGTCACATGCTACTGAAGCTTTATATTTATGGTGTTTGTAAAAAGGGAGCAGGTATTTTGTGTGCCCCAAAAGAGGATCAAGGCAAAAGCTACAGAAAATCAGCTGTTATATGATCCAAGTCACAGAAAATTAAAATTCCTTTCCCCTGTCCTGCACTGTAACATTACTAATTCCCTTGATTAGTTATGCCCACAACCCAACTCAATCATTATTAGACATGTGCGATTTGTTTCGTTCCGAATCGAAATTCGGACGAATTTTCGTAAATTCGGACATTCGGATGTATCCGAATTCCGAATTACAGACATAACGAATGCAAACGAATCCGAATTTCCATTTCCGAAATTCGGTAGCGTTCGCACGAACGTTCGTTTCGTTTTCTGTTCTTATTCGTTTCTTATTCGTTTCGTTCGTTGGAGCAAAGTGACATTAGAGGAGAAAAATATTTTTTCCCCCTCAAATGTCACTTTTGCTTCAAACGAACGAAACGAATAAGAAACGAATAAGAAACGAATAAGAACAGAAAACGAAACGAACGTTCGTACTAACGCTACCGAATTTCGTCCGAATCCGAATCCGAATTGACTTTCACACCCGAATCCTGATAAACGAAATAACACAAATCCGAATTTAAAACGAAATGAAACGAATTTTTGGGCAGTGCACATGTCTAATAATTATAACCGTTAATTCTGTTTTCATATCTAAACTCTTTTTAAAAAAACCCATTAAATACTCCATTGATAATTTTGTTGACAGATTCCGTTGTTTGTGGTAAAATATACTCCCTGTTAAGTACACCAGAAGACCTTGTTTATCTTCTAGAAGTCATTTGAATAGTCATAGGTTTAAAGGAGGACTATGGGGTAAGTGTTTTTCCCCATAGTTCTCCTAAGGCTCACGGGAGGACATATACTAGCGTCTTCCTGTGACCCAAAGCTCAGTACATAGTGAGCTACAGCTCGTAGTATACTGAGAGCGCCACAGCCGGGACAGATCCCGGCATTACTGTCGAGATCCACCCTGCTGCGTGAGTGACAGCTAACTCTGCCTATCTAGAGGCAGAGCCAGCTGTACTCGCCCGCTCCCCCGTGCGTTCCGCCAGTCAGCGCTGGAGGATCAGAGCGGGGAGGGGGGAATCCCTGCAGGGAGCCATGAGTGACAGTCACAGCTCTCTGCAGGGAGATGGTCGAGAAGTGAGTGAGCGACGGTATGTGTTTGCTCACTTCCTGATCTATTGAGCCACCGTGTGACAGTTTCATTGTCACACGTCGGCTCGAACTATGAGGTTGAGTGAAAATCACTCACCTCATAGTTCTCCTTTAATGTTTGTGTTTTTAGTTGTAATTTTTAAATCTACACCTCATATGGAAAGTGCAGCTTGCATTGCACACTGCCTTTATACCAGCCATATATTCAAGTGTGCACACTGCCTTTATAACTGTCCACTATCAAGTGTGCATGCTACCTTCATACCTACCCACTATGAAGTGTGTATATACAGTATGTGGAGCACCCATCACTTGGAAAATTCTTGTGCAATTAATGTAAAACGTTTCAGAGAGAAATATGGAGTGCTGTCATTGTTACCCTTCTTCTAGAAAAGCTTGTTCCTGGGCTGAAATGCTGAGCAATTAGCTTCTGTAGTTACTTATGTTTACAAAATATGCATATCAAAGAAAGAGCCCTTGACTCTACCTGGTACACTGCATTTTTTGCTTTTAAACATATCAAAGCCACCGACATGCAACATACAACGATAAGGATGCTTAGCATAGAATCCCATGTGTTTTTGTGTTTTTTAAAATATAATGCTCAACTTAAACTAACATTCATATAGTTATAGTGTATTTGTTTTCTAGGTCAAGTGGAACAACATTTATTGCACATAGAAAGACAGCAAAGGATATGGTGACACTACTTGGTAAGGTGGTGAATGCTTTGACCATGTAATTTTTCTTCCACATAATACATTGTAACATACTATGTTATTGTATTTGTGTCTATGTATAGCCTTTTCAAAGGAACTCAATACGTGATTCCTGACGTCTTAGAGAAATTACAGAACCTGAAGCCAAAACTTTTTTTTAGCTTTGGATGGAGTGGATATGGATTAGAACACCTGCAAGGTTTTTATTGCCATCTGTGTTCTTGTTAGGGAGATTCACCCCTCTATTTGTCATTTGTCTATTTGTTATTACTAAACGTTAAAGAAAAACACAAATTTCGGGTTGTCACCAGAACAGAAAGAGATGGGAATTCTTCCAATAAGGAGTTCCAGTGACCCTGTTGACCACCAGGGATTTCCCTATCTTTGCATGGATTTCCTCTCACTTCATTTTGTTGCTATTAGACAGGAAGTGAAGGGAAATCTCCCCAATGGGATACAGATGGCAAAAAAAGCGGACATTGCTCTATCGGAAATTAATTTTTTTTTGATTTCAGGATATTTAACCTGAAATTATTCCCATAAATTATTTAGACGGGGGCGTTGGTCATATGTGGCCTATACTGGATTTTGATTATATAACTATTCTTATGTATGCTCTCACATGCTCCTTACATACATCAGAACATGTTATTGGTCTCAAAGTTATAGCTTTTGTTTAAACCTTTTTTTTTTTTTTTTAAATCTCCTCAAAGCTCTGGAAAAGAAGTACAGCATTATGGTGAATTCAGCTTTTGATACTGATTCTCTTTTTCTTTTACTTTTATAGAACCACATGAAGGAAAATTCCCAGCAGCCAGACTCTAAGGATCTTAACCAAATTTCACATTCCATCTCCAGTGGTGGCCGCTTGACAAAAATAAAATTTATTGAAACTCAGAAGCCAGCTCTCAGCATGCAGTCCATGGAAGAGCTACAATAACCATGTCATTCAACAGATACCACTGTGAAATACTACATTAAGCATTCATCTGTTGAAACATGTACAGCATAAAACTCAGTCAAGACTGCAGCCACTAAATTGAAACTCAGTAAATGTTTTTACTATAGACCATTGCACTAACAAAACAAATACTTGTAATAGGCTATATGATTAGGTTTATTATAGATTATATAATAATATTTCCTTAATTTGCATACTACTATAAAATGGAAATGCAATAGTGTGAATCACCTTTTAACTCTCTATGAGCACCAAAGCTCCACTGAGACAAGAAGCATTTGTAGCAGTTAATGCGCAGAAAGAATGCTGTATCCCACATCATTTTGGACAGCAAGTGCCATTCTTTAGCTCAGGGTAAAATGTGAGAATACATGTTAATGTGCCATAATCAACATTTAATGAACTCTGGAAACATATGATTCTTAACTGGAAATCTAGTATACAAGGATCTATACACAATCTTAACCACTGTCCCCTGTCGTTTTTGTTGCTTATTTTCTTTTATACAAATATATTTTTAGAAAAACTATTTTTACTTATTTCTTACTGGGAGATTGTTTTTGTTTTGCTTTTTTTTTTTAATTAACTTTCAATGGCTATGCAATTTGTTTAAAATGATAGCAGACAAATCATGTGACAGATATACTGTATATACCTTTATTACTCATACAGTTTACTTTATGTCATAGCATGTAATTTACAATGTAGCTACTGTGATGAAACTGTATATAAAATCTAAAATGAAACATCTTGGCTAATTACATTTTGTCATCTTTTGATTGATGTGAGTTTTGAATGGGTGCCAGTAGAGAGATTACTTATGCTGAAATAGAAGTTTATTGTACCTTGATGTTTTCCCAAGAATGAAAACATCTTAATAAAAGAGCTGTCCACCATAGAACAGTCAAATTCATTCCAAAGCAAACACTCAAACTGCCATGCACGGTATGTTCTGACATCCTGTACTGCACCAGATATTGATGTATCATCTTATATCAGACTTTTCAACATCTCTGGAGATTTTGGTTTAGGTTTATCAGGGTCAATACAAGCCTTGTACCTTACTGATCTCCAAAGAGAATGATACCCTAGAAATAACTAGAAATAACTTTGGACAGATCAGTAGAGTTTAGAACACCTAAAGCAAAGAAGCATAATGTAGAGCATAATCAGGGTACTGGTGTGTCTAACAACTGGAAAAAGGTTCATGAGTGTCTGAAGTGTCTGAAAGCTGGACCAAATGTGCTGTGGTTTCTTGAAACTAAACCACAGGTGCTAGATTGTTTGAGTCCATAAATCACAAAGCATAACCAGCAATCCAGGATGTTCAGTTGTCCCAGTAACATAGGAGAATGATTTGCATGGTACTGTCAACTATCGTTGAAAACTAAACAATAAATTATAAACTATCAAATGAGAACTAAAACCTTTATTTTTGAGATTTGTAATGGAGGTCAGATTTTTAAGAATTCTACTGTGCTTCTTACTGTTTTACCAGATTTATTTTTGGTTCATTTTTACCCACCTTACCATAATCGTATTACTCTTCAAGCCCAACAACATAAAATACATTGTTTCTATGCAGTGCATTAATGATGACCAACGGCCCTGAAACAGTTGCATGCAGTTTGGACTAACAGTATGGGTGTTTAATAAAATAATCGTATTCCTTGAAAAGTACCGCCACTTGTCAGATTTTCATTCAACAGCCTGCTATCTACAGACATCACACATTAGGTTGTATCTGTTCTATAAGATAATGGTTCTGGGTTTACAATTGGCCCAGGGGCATTTAGGGATTTATATGAGAAATAAAATCTGTGATTTTGCGGGTAAGATATTCAGTGGCATTGTGAGTTTTAGGTCCAATTTTTGTGCAAATGCAACACAAATGAATCTTGATGGGTTTTACTGAACTAGGATAACAAACTATAAACAGGCATTAAGCAAAGTAGGTTTGGGGACTAAAAGGGCAGAACAGGACTGGTAACTTGCAGGATAGAATACAGGATTCAGACACCAGTTTGCCATATCAACTAGGTGCAGCAAAGGCAGAATTCCAAGGTACAATGTCAGCAGTAGAAAGTCAAAATATATTGGCAATGTGTGGCTCTACAATAAAATGCAGAGTACCAAGGTATTACTATCAGAGTTTGATAACATAACATATGTCTATGCAAAACTGAGAAGGTGGTAACTAATCTGAAGGGGTTGATTTACTAGATGCAAATAGGCTGTTCACTTTGCAAGTGAATTTGCACTTTTCATTGAAGTTTCCCCTTAGCTTAGTGAATGAGGCGAAACTTTAATTTGCAAAGAATAACCAATCACTTGCAAAGAAAGTCAAAACAAACTGCACATGATTGGATGATGGAAGGCAGCAGAACTTCACCTCATTCACTAAGCTAAGGAGAAAATTCCCTTTCAAAGCGAACAGCCTATATGCCTTTAGTAAATCAACTCCAAAGAGCCCAATGATAAAAGCTGACAAAGTCAGCCGAAAGTAAAACAAGCAGGTTCTATTGTGTGATTAACTAATCACAATTACATGGAGAGGCACGTGGACTGCATAATGTTATGAACAAATTTAACCAGGTTTAAGTTTAACCTTAACTTAAGTTTATGAGTATATGAGTTAAACCTTAAGTTTAACTCATATTTTTAAGGAGGGGAAAGGAAGAGGGCTTCCGTTCTGTGAACGGAGCTAGAGTAAAGCCTGGAATTCTAATAAGCACAAGAATCAAACCTGAATCAACAGAATTACAAATAGTAACAGTGCAAATTTGAGAACCGCAAAACATTGGGCTGCTAATGTGTCTTTTCTTGAAACCTTCTGGGCTAAAATATATGATGATGATAGGACAGTTATAAAGCCTTTTTGCTAATTAAGACCGCCCAGTCTAGTCAACTCTGCTGAAACTGTATTAATAGGAAAATAAACGCAATTTCAATGGTGCTCCCAAAAAGCACAGAGTTGCCACTTTTAAATCTTGGAAATCTTCCTCTGACCTGAAGTTCCGGTATCGGGGAAGGTATCGGAGCATTTGGGCGAGTACGAGTCCCTAATTTTACCGCTTGACATGTTTGGTATCTATGTACTCGATGTGACCCCATCTTTTGTTTTTTACCAAGAAGTTGGGTATTATATTGTGTTTGTGTGCACTAAAATTCATTTTAGTGTTTTTTTTCCTAAATACTGTATGACGATTTGATAAACATTTGTGAAAAAATGCAGCTATTTTTATTCTATAGGGCCTCTGCTTCAATACAATATGTAATTATTTGGGGGTTTAAAGTAATGTTTGATCCAAAAAATTAAGATTTTACACTTGTGTGCAAATATCTGAAAATTGCTTCGGTGCTAAGGTGATTAAAGTATTTTGTTCAATTTGTGTGTGTGTGTGTGTGTGTGTGTGTGTGTGTGTTTCTAGTTGCTGTGATCTTTATTTATATTTATTATTTTTGATGGTTTCGTGAGTCTACTTGTTTATTGAAAATTGTTAAAAACTAAATATAGCAATGTATGCAAATATACGGCTAGTCACCTGCCCTTTCTCATAACTACCATGAATAAAGTGATGTCAAACAGACTCAGACTCATTTTTATTGTGCAAATAGGCTACTAATCAACCCTTCGGGGGCCATTTGTTAGAAGTTTCTGTCGTCAACATATATTCTGCTCTGAGTGTCTTTCTTTTGATTAAGGTGGTTGAGATTTTGCGTATAAGGCAGATTTTTTTTTTCTTAAATTGGCCAGGGAGCAGGTGTGAGTCCATTCAGCCATTACTAACCACCGATGTTAAATGAGATCTTTTAAATCATTGGTAAATTACTTGTTTCTAATTGTTCTTTCTGTATGGGTCAGTATGGATTCCCTGGGGTCTACCTTTTGTAAACACAGAGAATACTTAAAGCTGGTGACTTGTGCGCAAAGCACTAAAGTCACAAGGGACCAGTTATGGGAAATCTGCCCCTATCAGAGGATTTGGTTATAGTCCTTCATGCAGAAAGCAGCACAGGGCTTTACAGGACGCATACAGATTCAGAATGTTACGGCATTTTTAAAACTTAAAGTGTAACTGGCCACTTAAAGCAAACATAATACTACCTAAAATTAAAATTGGCAATATATATAAGACTCTGGTGAATCTTGGCTTATTCACAATTATAGCTTCTAATGAAAAAGGGTGAATGTCAGAGTATGTTTAGACTGGCAAATATACATTGAATATTTGAAGTGCAGTAGGAGCAGAGATGTTGCTAGCATTGGGAATGACCTGGGGCACTCTTTTTACACACTTAGGAGAGAAAAGCTTTGGCGTATTTAGAGCCCTTAGGCGAAAAGTGCACTTGTGCAGAACCTGCTGAACAGTAGGCATGGTTTAAAAAGGTGCAGGGTTAAATAGAACCTAAGTCTACTCACTGTAGTCACTAGTGAAGTGCCCACTTACATAGATGGTCAGAGGTGAAGTGCCCCCTTATGTTAGTGAGCCCCTCAGTGAAGGAGTGACCTGCTTATATTGGTGGTCATTGTAGTGCCCCCTTTTATTGGTGGTTGATGGAAGAAGTACCTCCTTACACTGAATGTCTGTAGAGAAGTACTCTCATTCTCTTTGCCAAGCCACCCCCACCATATGGTGTAGTGTAGTGTAGAGAGAAAAAAAAATGTTATATGAATTTATATAATATTATTATTATACAGGATTTTTATAGCGCCAACAGTTTGTGCAGCGCTTTACAATATAAGGAAGACATTACAATTACAATACAATTCAAGACAAGATGGTAAGGAGGGCCCTGCCCCTGAGGGCTTACAATCTAAAAGGGAGTGATAATATTATTAAGCCAGAATGTTTCCTCTAATCGGTAAATAATATCAATTAGATCAAGTGTATCAATTAGAATTATGAATCAGTGTTGCAATTTTGACAATCTTGTGCAGTCTTAACTAGAAACATTTTTACGCCGTTTTCTGGCGAACATAAATTCAGCAGTATTACAAGTAGGTTTGAAAGAATGGTTTCTACTCCCTGGAAAACAAGGGGTCGTATGTAGATAAGGATCCCCCTTTGTAACAAGAAACAGCAGTCTCATTTAACCTAGAAATTATC